TTGAATGGATGCTAGGAAGTGTATGAGTAAAGAAAGTGTGTTGATGTGGCATGCCGGAGGAGGTAACGGGTAACCAGTGAGTGAAATTAGCTAGATACGCGCCTGAATCAATAGCGATGTAGCGTCCCACTATTGTAAGGTGAGTAGGGGGTGCCGATTTTAAAATCTTCGTATTATATATTGATTTACGTTAATAAACATGATTGGTTTTCTTAAAAGCATTTGTGGATGGCATGAGCTGTTAGCCTTGATAGGCAATTTGAATGGATTTACAATGATTTATATATTGCCATTGTGGAGAGCATGAGCTGGTAGAAACCATAGGAAGTTTGTAAATGCAAGTGTTTTTAAAGTGATTTGGATATACCTATAGATAAGCTATATGCATAAAAAGTTTTAGAAACTGGGAAACAAGCGTTTCACAATGTTTGTATCAAAATCTATGCCTTGTATTCTTTTTTATGATATGCATAGCTAATGCATTTGTTAAACAACTTTGAATGCAAGTTTTGAGCTTTGATTTATGTATAAATATTTACAACATGCCATTTAGTTTGAAAAGTAATTTCAAAGGGGTTATCAAACCTTGATTTGAAAGGATTTAAAAGGAAAAGCCTTGTAAAACCCGATTTGGTTTTAAAAATGGTTTCGATAAACCGAGAGCGTCGAGAGTAGGTCGGCTGTCACTTCGGTTAAGCCTGACCTTTGTGCACAAGTGAGCTCTAGCTAGAGAACTTTTAGGTCACCAACGGGCCGTTAGACGTGGCTGGGGCCATAGTTTGTGATTTATGTGGCAAGGCCATGGGTTGTATATGTGGCTAAGCCACAAGTGATATTTGTGGTTGCGACGGCTTGATTTCTCCGATGTCAACCAACATCATTGAGACAACCATGGCTATAAGGATCAGGTGGAGTAGAGCTCTTAGATGTTATTACGTGGAAATGGGTCCACGGGTGATTACTATACTTAGCTACTCGAGAGCGTTGTGAGTTTTCAACGCATACTCTTTTGCATAGTGGAGATTTGAGATTTCTTTACAGCTCTTTTGGCTTGAATAAAAGCTTTCAGTGCTTACTTGATGAACATGAGATGTTTTACATGGTTGTACACTTGATTTCTTTCCATGCCGCATAATTTGGAAGCGTGCATACTTTATATTGTTGGCCATATTTGTATAGCAAACAATGTTTCAATGTTTGAACTTGGTTTCGTAACATTGTTTCGGTACCGTTTTGCCAAGTGAAAATATTATTATGATTTACGTCATTATTTTTACAACGCACAAATATCTTACTTATGATTTGGTATTTTAACACTAAGATTTGATATTCCGGTTTGATTATTCAACTTTTCTGCCTTATGCTTGTTTCCCATCTACACCCTACTCACGAAGCCGATGATCACTGAGTTTGTGAGACTCACCCCCCCATTATTTTCCTTTTGCAGATAGTGATCAGCCTAACGTGCATTCATCGGCATTTTCAGCCCACTGCAGATAGGTAAAGTCATCTAATAACACTTTATTCCTAGTCACTCCGCTGCGAGAGATCGAGTCTTCATATAGTAATTTGTTACAGGATTAGACAATAGTGTCAATTCAAATGTACATTAGGAAATTATAAGTCTTGATGTATCATTTTTATAATTATGTGGAATAAAGGTTTATGCCATTTATAAAGAATATTGTTCAATTCCTATCACAAAGAGTTTTATGATACAAGGAAATTTTCTTAGATTGATGGTATGAATGTAAGATAATGACTAACGCTTTAAGTAAGGCTTGTTCAGGACTTGGCACATTCTCCCGTGAGACTTGGACGCCAGTAGCGATCGAGGAGTAGTCGTTACAGTGTTGGTATCAGAGCCCTAGGTTTACTCAAGTCCTAGGATTCTCGTGTCTGTCAGCAGAGTGGTATGGTCTTATGTAAAGTTTTGCCCTCGATTTGTGACTACGCAGCACAAGTCGCGGACAAGAAACTACATGGGTACCATGGTCATCTAGAAAGCCACCTTTTTTTTAAAGTATAATATGGATTGATTTGGTGTTGATCGCATCTAGGTAAGAGATGGCACCTAGTATGCGAGACACATAGACGGGAATTGGAGGGCATGATGCTTGCAGGAAATGGATGCCTTGATAAAGGCCTATATATATATATATATATAGAAAATTATGATTGTGATTGGTAGAAAAGTTAAGCTACCTGATAAAGTTGGGTTACTAGTAAAAGAAAGATATATGTGTGTGACATGAGAATATTGAGCCTGGATTAGGGACTGATGTATGGTAGCCATCAGTGGCTTGTGAAAGGAGCTAAACCATGATGAAGTTATTGTGAATATGATGGATGATGGTGATAAGTTGTATTAATGAATAAGGTTAAATGTAAGTTAGTTATCATACTGTGAATACAAAGGCTGAGGCCTGACAATGTGAGGCAAGTTTTTGATAAGTTGCACTGTCAACTTTTCGTTCAAAGCGTTGAGCTCTAAAATCCTTTTAACAATGGCTAATGAAGTGAGATTAATAGGATCATTAGAGCTTATTCATTCAGTAAAATGATAATTATAGCTATGGTAGTGAAATTTGGAAGTTAGGTCGATCGATAAGGACCAACAATGAGTTTGTTAATTAAGTTAAGTTAAGGGTGAGACCTTGAACGGGAATGTATTTTTAGTTTAGCAACTGCTATGGTGGGCACTATTATGGTTAATGTGATTAAATCGAGGTTTGTAAATTTAAGTATTGAGGGAGTTGTAACTTGATATTCCTGAGGATGAGAGATGTTAGGGGATATATCCCCGACAAACATGAAAAAGGGGCGAAACAATAGCTCATTGATCAAATGGCTATAGTGAGAAGGAAAGTCATAAAGAGTTATGCCATGCACAAGAAATATATGTATACCTTATAATTATTCTTTTCATGAAGAATGATCTGTGGTAAGAATGAAGGCACATAGTGCCATGACATTATAGA